GGATAATAGGACATATGGACAGTAGCTTGCACTTTCTGCATTTCCAAAGCCTGGAGAAAGCAGTAGATTTTCTTGCTTGGCAGTCTGACATAAGGAAACTTTGCCTTGTACTGAAGCAGTAGGACCAAAGCCCCTAGAAAATATTAGAGCAAGAAAATCTCTGGGACTAGCTACAGTTAGGTGGATGTATTCCAGTCTCCAATCTCTAGCACGGATTTATCCACATAGGCTCTCCTCCAAATTCTTCCCCCACTCTTTGAACTCCTGTCAAAAAAGAATCCTCTTCATCTTCCCCATCCCATCCCACCCAATATGCCTAAATCACACCGTAGCTCAATATATGTCGCAGAGTAAATGCAAGAATGTCTGGTCACATTAATAATACAAAATCATTCCAATAAGATGATTTGCTATGATTTGTGTCATACGTATTTATGTTCTTTTTGGGTAGGCTGTAAGCTTCTTGATTTTAAGGGCTATATCAAAACACTTAGACAATGTTCCCAGAAATGTACCCAGTGGTCTGAAGCATTTGGTGCTATTAATCACTCCATGCTCAAAATTCTCCCATTGACTTCAGAGTTACCATTCTTTCATGGTTCTCCTCTGTCTCTTGATATTTTATTCTCAGAATCCATTGCGGACTCCCGTTCTGCTTTACATACCCATCCCCATGGATCTTCAACTGCCACCTATTGCTGATGATTCCCAAATAATTCCCAGCCAACCTTTATCTAGAGCTTCTGACTAATATTTCCACTAACATATCCCCATCTGAACTTATGAACACTGCCTTGTGCTTGCTTCTTATTTTGTGTTCTTGATGTAGATGATTAGCATGAGCCATTCCCACCACCCCACTACCCCATAAGCTCCTGGAGTCAGCTCAGACTCCATTAAAAAAAAATACCACAGGCAGTTTCCACAGTTGACATTTATTTTTTTTTCACAGTTCCAGAGGCTGGTAAGTTTGCAGGTTCCGCAAGATTCATTTTCTCGTGAAAATTCTTCCTAGTGTGTAGATGGCTGCTTTCTCCATGTGTCTTCACATAGTAGGGGGGAGGCTGAGAAAAAGGCAAAGAGGCTTTTTTTTAAAAATAAGGCCAGAGCTTGTAGAATTACGTAGAATATGTGCCTTCCAAAATTCAGATATTGCCAATGTGATAGGATTAAGAATGGAAACTTTAAGAGTTTATAAACCATGGGGGCTTCTTTTTGGTTAATGGGATTAAGATTTTATAAAAGAGACTCCTTGTAGCATTCAGCTAGCTTTCCCTTATACTCTTCTGCCATGTCAGGACACAGCATTTCTTCCCTCTGGAAGATACAACAAAGGGCCTCACAAAATGCTGGCAATTTTATCTTGCATTTCATAACCCCTAGAACTATGAGAAAAAAAAATTCTAGTTTTTTAAACTACCCAGTCTCAGGCTTTCTGTTATAGTAACACAAATGGATTAAGACACCTCCCAAAGATTCTATCTTCAAGTACAGTCATGTTGAGGGTTAAGGATTCAATATTAGAATTTGAGGAGGACACCATTCAGTTCATGGAAATTCCCAAGGCTTTCTTCTTCATTACTTAATGATTATAAAATTATTTCAATTCAGATGTCTCCTAAGTTCAGCCCCACCGCCTCATAACCACTCTTCTTTCTCTGTCTTAACTACAGCCCTCCATCATCCACTGTCTCATCATATATCTCCTGCTTCTACTGTCAGGCTTTCTCTGCTCTAATCCACAACCCTGTCTGTAAGACAGAGTTCAAGCTTTCTTTCCTCTTGGCTCCCTATCTAGCCCTTTAAAATCTACTCTCCACCTGCTACAAATTTTTCATGTTTTCCCCCATTCATACAGCTTTACTGGAGTATAACTGATATGCTTAAACTACACATATTCATAGCATAAAACGTGTAAGTTTTAAATGTTTTATATCTTATTATAAAAGATCATGTATATGTGAAATACATGATATTTATATATTTTATATATATATGTGTATATATATATATATATATATATAAGCTTTGACAATATTATATATTGAGGTTTTCTATTTCTTTCTGGGTGAATTTTGGTAGTTTGTGTCCTTCAAGGAATTTGTCTAAGGTGTTGAAATTATTAGCATAAAATTATTCATATGAACTAATTCCTTATTATCCTTTTAGTATGTGCAGGGCCTTTAGTTATGTCATCGTAACTTTATTGCTGCTATTGGTAACTCATGTCTCCTTTGTCTGTTTCTCCCTTTCTCTTGAAAAATCTAGCTAGAACCTCTAGTTTCTCAATTTGCTCTGTGTTTCACTGCTTTTTGCATTGTTCTTCTGTTTTTCTTTTTTTTTAATGTTCTTAACAGCATTTAAAAAAATTTTTTTAATATTTATTTTTTAGTTTTTGGCAGACACAACATCTTTGTTTGTATGTGGTGCTGAGGTTCGAACCCCGGCCGCATGCATGCCAGGCAAGCGCCCTACCGCTTGAGCCACATCCCCAGCCCCTGTTTTTCTGTTTTTCATTTCAATGATTTCTACTCCATCTTTACTATTTCTTTTTATTCTGCTAACACTGTGTTTAATTTGTTCTTTTCCTATTTTGTGGAGACATGGAAATAGAGGTTATTGAGCGAAGACTATGGTAGTTTCCTGTGGCTGCTGTAAAAAAAAATTACCACAAACAAAGTCTTAAAAGAATAGAAATTTATTTTCTCACAGTTCTGGGGACTAGAAGTCTGAAATAAAGGTTATTCTGTTTTCCACCTCTTCCAGATTTGGATGACTTTTGACATTCCTTGAGTGTGACTACATCACTTCAGTCTCTATCTCCATTTTCATGTGGCCTCTCCTCTTTTTGCCTCTGTCTTATAAAGATGCATGGGATAGTATTTAAGGTCCACCTGGATAATTCAGGGTGATCTTCTCATCTCAAGATCTTTGAAGATTTTTTTCCCCAAATAAGGCAACATTCACAGGTTCTGATGATTGTTTGGAGGTCAAAATTCTCTGGAGGCCACAAGTTGGCCCACTACAGAGACCTTTCTTCTTTCCTAAGTACTATAGTACTATAGATTTCCCTCTAAACACTGCTTTAACTGCATCATCCCATACAATTTTTATTGGTTATATTTTCATTTTTATATCAGTCAAAATATTTTTGTGTTTTCCTTTGGATGTTTTATTTGACTTGGGTTATATAATTTAATGTTAATTTCCAAATGTTCATGTATTTTCTGGAGATCTTGTCATTGATTAGTAATTTGATTCTGCAGCGTCTTACTTATCACTAGAATCGTTTTAAACTTATTGAAACTTTTTAATGATCCAGAATATGTTGCTTCATAATATTATCATTATATTATCAAGTCTTCTATGCACTTAGTAAAATTATTTCTACTTGTAAAATTATTTCTGCTTGTTCTATCAATTATGAAAAGAGAGATGTTGAGGTTTAGATGTGGTTTCCCCCAAATGCTCATGTGTGAAACAATGCAAGAAGGTTTGGAGGAGAAATGATTGGGCTATAGATTTAACCTAACCAGTTAATTGATCCCTGATTGGATTAACTAGTGACTGAAGGCACATGAGGTGTACTGGAAGAAGTGGTTCATTGGGGGCATTTATACTTTTTGTATCTGGAGAGTGGAATTTTTCTCTCTCTGCTTCCTGGTGGTGAGAGCTGGTTCCCTCTGCTACACTGCTATCTATGGATTGAGACCTTTGAAACCGTGAGCCCTTAAATAAACCTTTCCTCCTCTATAATTGTTCTGGTTGGGTCTATAAGTCACAGCAGTGAAAACGCCGACTAAAACAAGAAGTGTTAAAGTTCAACTATAATTGTGGATTTCTCTGTTCTCTATATTTCTATCAAGTTTTGCTTTATCAGTTTCAAAGACTTATCATTAGGTTTGTGAACATTTAGTATTGTTATGTTCTCTTGAATCCAACACTTTGTTATTATGGAATGATCCTGTTTTATCCCTGCTAATATTCCATGTTCAGAAGTCTTCTTTTTATGAGAATATAACTTCCCTCTTACTAGTATTAGTATGGTGTATCTGTTTCCTTCTTTTAGGCTTTTTGTGTCTGTATAGTTAATTTGGTTTCTTCAAAGCAGCATACAGTGGGGTCCTGCTTTTACTTTTTTATTTGACAATCTTTGCCTGTAACTGGGACATTTAAACAATGTCAGTTAATTATGATCATGATGATTCATATTGTTGGATTTAGGTCTATCATCTTGTTGTTTGTATTATATTTGAGACTTCTCTTGTATTCTTTTTGCCTTCCTTCAAACTGAATTTTTTTATAATTCCATTTTAACTCCTTAAACAAACATTCACTATGATTTTTCTTGCTTTACTTTAGTCATCACTCTGAGATTCTACTTTCAGTGTACTTTCGAATGGTGCCATGCCTTTCATGGGGTATAAGAACCACCAACTGCACATTTCTCTCTCTTCTCTTTCTGTTTTTTTTTTTTTTTGTGTTTGTTGTCATACATAATAGTTCTAAATATACTATAAATTCCACAATAAATGCTTACCACCTTTATTTTACACTGTCTGTTATCCTTTAAAGAGATTTGAATACTGAGGGAAAAGCCTTTTATATTTCACACATAGTTACTATTTATGATGGTTTCCATTTTTTTTGTGTAGATCTATATTTCTATCTGGTATTATTTTCTTTCTGCCCAAATAATTTTTTTTCAGCATTATTTTGTTATACAGGTTGGGTGATGATGGAGTCTCTTAGCCTTTGCATAAATGAAAATGTCTTTATTTTAACTTCATTTTCCAAAGACACTTTCACTTGCTATAGCTTTATAGATTGACTAATATATATATATATATATATATATATTGACTATATATATATGAATGTGAATATATATATATTGACTATATATATGACTATATATATGACTAATATATATATATGACTAATATATATTACAGCACTTTAAAAATGTTTCAGTGAGTTTTGGTCTATACTGTTTCCAGGAACAGCACAAAAGTGAGGAGCACTGGAAGGACTTCACATCTATCCCAACAGTCTGCACAAACTTGCTCCAGTCTCTGATATGGAAAGTTTACTTTTATTAGCTTGTGTAAGTATAGTTTCATAGCCCTGCTTCCCACATGCCCAAAAGGCATGTAAGATTGCTTTTCATCATCTTATCCTCTCTATATAAGGAAATTATAGAACTTAGGAGCTACTGCCTTTGATAAACTTCTTGCAATCTAAATAACTATAAAATTCTAAATTACAAAATGGTGAATTGTTTACAGAATTGTTTCTGATTGTTTCCAGAACAGCAACCAGTGTATTTCTGTTGGGAATTCCAGAAGTAGACATTCTACATAATCCCTACTTTAAGCCCTTTTTGGGATATAATTACCATTATCATGGTTATTCTTTGCTTACCTAACATTCTTATAAACTGTCCATCAAGATGCACTCTTTGGGAAAGTGAGGGGGGAATTACAGTGTAAGTTTTCAAAAGATTACTTTGTTTTAAAGTTGAAGTTGTTCGCTGAAGTCTTGCTCTCTTTATTAACAAAGTATTAAAAGAACATAGAGTGAATTTCAAACTAATCATAATAAATGCATTTGCCTGGGTCTTTTGGGAACAAAGTTTGAGTAATACTCTTATTTAGATAAAAGGAACATCCTGGACCCTTCCTTCTTACCTGTTCAAGAAAATTCTCCAGGCATTTTGGCATTCATATTACAAGAGATAGATAATATTGTCCCAAATTTTATAGATGGAAAAACTGAGGCTTAGAGAGTATAAGCACATTGCTAGATATTATATAACTAGTAAGTAGTTATATAAGTACTAACTTATATAACTAATTAAGTAGTTATATAAATATTAACTAGTAAGTATTATAAAATTCAAGATGAATCAAAGCCTGAATAAGAGGAACTTTAAAGAATTTTCTACCTATTCACCATTTTGTAATTTAGAATTTTATAGTTACTTAGATAGCAATATAATTTTAGTATCTACATTTAGTACACAATTTATATACACAAATTTTGTCACCATATTATGGGTTCTCTGGAGTAGTTTTGATGTAATTAAATTTTTACCTCAGGCATTATCACATTTAAAACTTGAGTACTATGGGACCACCTGTATGTTTCCACTCTATTAAAATGTTTCTCTGATTTTCAACAAATTGTTTCTAGTCACTTTGGGAAAGCATAGTATAAGGAACACTCTGTGGGAAAAAGTATGATAACAGTGTTTTTAGGAGTTTACTTTTGGCTTTGAAGGAGTATAACTAATGTATCTGAAGAGTTTAAGTTCTTCTCCACAGTAAGGAAGATGACTTCTCAAAACACAAAGTTAAACTCAGAAGTTTATCGAAGGCAGTAGCTCTCAAACTTTAGAGTACATAAGACCTAATAAGCTTGTTTTAAGTGTATATTCTTGAATGGAAGTTCTTATTACAGTTATAGAATCTACATCATATCAGACTATGCCTTTCCTGATAAAAATGATAAACCCTAGACACACATCCACACAAACACATCTGGAGGCATCAGAAAGTGGTCAAAAGCAGGCAGAAACTGAAGGGAGTTCTAGTCTTTAATGGAACCATTCACTGGGTAAAAATTAAGTCTATGACTATTCCACTGAGGGCTCTCACACCACATAGCACAACAAAAAAACAAGTAAAAAGTACAATGTTTTTGACTTGGTATCAGAGAGCATGGAGTTAGGGGCAGAAAGAATATCTGAAAGATTAAGGTAGGAAAATCCCAGAAGAGAGGCATTCTAACTCCCTAAAATGTATTCATCATAATGAACAGATCATAATGACTTGAAAAAAATTACTAGGCATTTAAAGACATATGAGATAACACCCCAAATCAAAAGAGAATGCTGTCAACAGAAACAGAGCTCTAGGTAACCACAGTTTGGAATTAGCAGAAAAGTATACTACAGAGGTGTAAATATTCAAAGGCAAATTAAAATATTTTAGGAATAACTGAACAATTGTGGTAACATTATCAGGGAAATGGAAGCTATTTTAAAAATTAAATGGAAAAATTCTAGAATTAAAGAGCTGTACCATCTGAAATGAAAAAGAAATCATAAGATGGGCTGAAGATAAGAGACAGCAAAAGAAAAGGGGACTCGAGAAGAGATCAATAGAAATTATCCAATCAGATAAAAAAAATACACAATGGAATATTATTTGGCCATAAAGAAGAATGGAATTATGGCATTTACCAGTAAATGGATGGAACTGGAGACTATCATGCTAAGTGAAACAAGCCAATCGGGGGTGGGGAGAAAGGCTGAATGTTCTCAGATATGTGGATGCTAACACAAAATAAGGGTGGGGGAGAATAGAAGTTCATTGGATTAGACAATGGGGAATGAAGAGAGCGAGGGAAGATAGGAATAGGAAAGATAGTAGAATAACTCAGATGTCACTTTCCTATGTTCATATATGAATACACGACTAGTGTAATGCCATATTATGTACAGTCACAAGAATGGGAAGTTATACTCTATGTATGTATAATATGTCCAGATACATTCTACTGTCATGTATAACTATAAAGAACAAATAAAAATAAAAATTATCCAATCCAAGCAGAGTGAAAAATAAAACCAACCTCAGTGACAGGTAGAATAATTACCAAATGAACAAAAACATAAAGCAAAAATTAATTTTTATGCTTTATTAGATTGGACAGGTAGAGGTGAATTTTCCATTTGTAAGTTATTTTACCCAGCAAAAAATATTGTTGGCATGACCATCATATTTTTTGCCCATGAATAAAGATGCTTCATACCATTAGTTGGTTATAGCACGCAAGAGGTCCAGCCACTATACCAATGGTGTGGCAAACACTTCATCAGCATGATCATGGCTGTCCTGATTAAGCTTTCAGAACAAAACTTAACATCCTTCTAGACAATATATTTCAACAGAAGTTCTCCCACCTACTTATTAGCTAACCAAATGTTTAGTGCTTGGTTTGACTTTTCCTTCAACCAAAAGTTCATCAAAACCTCTGTTAAATAAGTTGCAAGTTCCTTTTTTTCCCTCAGAGGGATTGGGGAGAGTGTTATTGAAGGAAGTCCATATCACCTTGCTCTCAACTTCCCTTAGCCAAATCTCCTATTTTTGGAAATTGTAACATGGTCTTTTCACCAGTTTATCTAGATCTACTCTGACTTGAAAGTTCAACTGAGGATTTTTTTTTTTCAGTACAATGGATACAGCCACGAGTAATTTCACAAGATCTGTCTGTATTCTGGCTAGTTGATATTCCAACAGGACTTTGATAAGAAAAAAGAAATTGATTCCATACATAATCATATCTGACAGGCTAGCTACTATGGTATTTGATTCTGAGGTATGAAGAAACCATTTGATTTCTGCTGAAGGGTCTGCAATGTTTGGTGATAGAACTCATTAGAAGAGATATGAGAAGACTCATTGATCTGATGTCTTTTCAGTCAACACTTTTCATTCTGTGAAGCTGGAGATTGTCCAACAGGAGTTAAACTAGGCATTAGGCTGGGTTCTGTACCTTACTAACTGAATGCATGCAAAGTAGAGATGATTCATGATTTCTTTTTTTTTTTTTTTTTTTTTTTTTTGGTGCTGGGGATTGAACTCAGGGCCTTGTGCAAGCGAGGCAAGCACTCTACCAACTGAACTATATCCCCAGCCCATACTCATACACTGTTGAGGGCCACAGCCCAGTAGGGATGACTCCGCCAGAAGGGAGTGGTTGAGAGATGACACCAGCAAGCCATTGAGATGATGATGGTTACGTTAAGCTGTGTATTCAGTTGTATATGGACCCCTGCTGTCCAGCAATAGGGTGACTGGGGAATAGGGTGGTTCCTGCTGCCTTGGGTGCCCACTACTTTGGAGTTCCTGGGCACCTAGGTTGGTTCCATAGTTTAGGTATTGTGAATTGAGCTGCTATAAACATTGACATGGCCCTCATTGTAGTATTCTGATTTTAAGTCCTTTGGGTATAAACCAAGGACTGAGAGAGCTGAGTCAAATGGTGGTTCTATTCCAAGTTTTCTGAGGAATCTCTACACCACTTTCCATAATGATTGCACCAATTTGCAGTCCCACCAGCAAATGTATGAGTGTACATTTTTCCCCACATCCTCACCAACATTAATTGTTGCCATTCTGACTGGGGTGAGATAAAATCTTCGAGTAGTTTGAATTTGCATTTCTCTAATTGCTAGAGATGATGAACATTTTTTTTCATATATTTGTTGATTGATTATATATCATCTTCTGATAAGTGTCTGTTCAGGTCCTTGCCCCATTTATTGATTGGGCTATTTGTGTTTTTTTTGGTGCTTAGCTTTTTGAGTTCTTTATATACCCTAGAGATTAATGCTGTATTTGAGGTGCATGTGGTAAAGATTTTCTCCCAATATGTAGGCTCTCTTTTCACATTATTGATTGTTTCTTTTGCTGAGAAGCTTTTTAGTTTAAACCCATCCCATTTATTGATTCTTCATCTTACTTCTTGCACTCTAGGGAACTCATTAAGGAAGTCAGATCATAGGCCGAGATGGTGAAGATTTGGGCCTACTTTTTCTTCTCTGAGGTCTCTGTTCTAGTGCCTAAGTCTTTGATCCACTTTGAGTTTTGTGTAGGGTGAGAGCTAGAGGTTTATTGAGTTGACTTTCATGGAGGGTGAGAGATGGAGATTTAATTTCATTTTGTTACATGTAGCTTTCCATTTTCCCAGCACCATTTGTTGAAGAGGCTATCTTTTCTCCAGTGAATGTCTTTGGTGCCTTTGTCTAGTATGAGATAACTGTATTTTTTTTTTTAAGAGAGTGAGAGGAGAGAGAGAGAGAATTTTTAATATTTATTTTCTAGTTTTCGGCGGACACAACATCTTTGTTGGTATGTGGTGCTGAGGATCGAACCCGGGCCGCACGCATGCCAGGCGAGCGCGCTACCGCTTGAGCCACATCCCCAGCCCCGAGATAACTGTATTTATATGGGTTTTTCTCCATGTCTTCTATTCTGTACCTTTGGTCTATGGGTCTATTTTGGTGCCAATACCATGCCCTTTTGTTTGTTTGTTTTTTGCTATATCTCTGTAGTATAGTTTGAGGTCTGGTAAGTGATGCCTCCTGCTTCACTGTTCTTGCCAAATATTGCTTTGGCTATTCTGGGTCTCTTATTTTTCCAAATGAATTTTATGATTGCTTCTTCTATTTCTATGAGAAATGTCATTGGGGTTTTCATAGGAATTGCATTAAATATGTATAACACTTTTGATGGTAGGCCATTTTGACAATATTAATTCTGCTTTTCCAGGAGCATGGGAGGGCTCTCCATTTTCTAAGGTCTTCTTCAGTTTCTTCAGGGTTCTGTAGTTTTCAGTGCAGAGCTCTTTCACCTCTATTGTTTGATTGATTCCCAAATATATTTTTTTGAGGCTTCTGTGAATGGGATAGTTTTCTTAATTTCTCTTTCAGTGTATTCATCACTGACGTATGGGAACACATTTGATTTATGGGTGTTGCTTTTATATCCTGCTACTTTGCTAAATCCATTTATTAGTTCTAGAAGTTTTCTGGTGAAATTTTTGGATCTTCTAAATGTAGAATCATGCCATTGGCAAATAGTGATAGTTTGAGTTCTTCTTTTCCTATTTGTATCCCTTTAGTTTTTTTCTTCTAATTGCTCTGGTTAGAGTTTCAAGGATGATGTTGAATAAAAGTGGTAAAGAAGGCATCCTTGTCTTGTTCCCTTGTAGAGGGAATGATTTCAATTTTTCTCCATTTAGAATTATGCTGGTCTTGGATTTAGCATATATAGCCTTTACAATGTTGAGATATGTTCCTATTATCCCTAGTTTGTTTTTTTTTTTTTTTTACTGTTTTAAACATGAAGGGTGCTGTATTTTGTCAAATGCTTCTTCTGCATCTATTGAGAAGATCAAATGATATTTGTTTTTAAGATTTTTTATATGATGAATTACATTTATTAATTTACATATGTTGAACCAACACTGCATCTCTGGGATGAACCCCACTTGATCGTGGTGTATTATCTTTTTAATATGTTTTTGTATGTGATTTTCCAGAATTTTTTTTGAGAAATTTTGCATGTATGTTCATCAGGGGTATTGGTTTGAAATTACCTTTCCTTGATTTGTCTTTGTCTGATTTTTCTATCAGAGTTATATTAGCCTCATGGAATGAGTTTGAAGGGGTTTCCTTCTTTTCTCTCATGGAATATTTGAGGAGTATTGGTGTTAATTCTTCTTTGAAGGTCTTGTAGAACTTGGCTGAAATCTGTCTGGTCCTGGGCTTTTCTTCAGCCCAGGCTTACTAAGTACTTTCCTCTTTGAACTGCCTTCACAGTGTCCTAGAGATTTTGATATAGTGTATTGGTGTTCACTTACCTCTAGGTATTTTTTTTATTTCATCCTTGATTTCTTCTGCTATCCATTCATCATTCAATAGTATATTATTTAGTCTTATTGTGTTAGAGTAGCTTATATTTTGTATTTTTATCATTGATTTTATCATTGATTCCTAATTTCAATCCATTATGATCTGATAGAATGCAGGGTATTATCTCCATTTTTTTGTATTTACCAGGAGTTGCTTTGTGTCATAAGATATGGTCTATTTTATAATGATCCAACTTAAAGGACTTTTTAAACAATTTTTGTTGCTCAAGTATGCTGGCGATGAAGACTATCAATTTTTATTAGTATGGAAATGTTTTAGTTTCCTCCCATTTAAAAAATATATATTTTCATTGGAGATGGAATTCTAGGTTGAAACATTCTTTTCTTTTGGAACTTTAAATATGTTATTCCATTGCTTCTTTTTAATAACTCCCCTATCATTCCTATCTCTTAAACTGTTTCTAATATTTTTTCTTTGTTACTGCTTTTACCATGTTTATCATGTACCTTGGTGTTATTTTCTTTATGATTATCATGCTGGAAGTCTGTTGAATTTATTGGATACGTGGGCTTATAGCTTTCAGAAAAGAAAGTTCTGGGCTTGTTTATTCAAGTAATTTTTTCTGTCCCCTTTTGGGGGGCTCTAACTATAAACTAAACTGCTTTAAACACTTCTATATATCATTTAGTATTTGTATAGTTTTCTTCTCTGTGCTCTAGTTTGAATACATTCTAATGTCATGTATTTAATGATATTTTCTCCTGTACTCTCTAGTCTTTTGTAAAGCTCATCCATGAATTTATAATTTCAGGTATTGTATTTTTGTGTCTAAAAGTTCCATTTGTTGGTGGTTTTCATGTCCTCTATTTCTCTAATTATTATATTTATGTTTTCCTGTAAGTCCTTGAAGATATTTAAAATCTACTAATCCCACCGCCTCCATCAGTTCTGGATTTCTTTCTCTCGTCTTATTTTCTTCTGTTTCAGGATTATGTTTTCCTGCTCCTCTACATGACTATTCATTTGTGTGTGAGTATGCATGCTGAATCCAGGGCCTTATGCATGCTGTGCATACACTCTACTACTGAACTAAATTCCTAGCCGCCTAGTCATTTTTAAATTAGGTTACCATGTTGAGTGTCTACCTTTTATTACTTTCTGCAATGAGTGTCGATTTTATTTTGTCAGACAAGTTTTTTTGCTGATAAGTTTGATGATTTCAAGAGCTTACATTTAAGCTCTCAGAATAAAGCTATAGTAGCCTTTGTGATTAACTTAGTTCTACTACTTAGACATAACATTTTGGGGATCCCTACTGAATATAAACAGGACTCTTTACTTCATCTTATTAGAACCCAAACACTCCCCAGTCCAGTTCAGTGGGAAGTTCTCAATTTATAGCTAGGTTTGTTGCCTGGCCTTCTGGAATCTCCTCCTAATTATGTGAAGCTTATATTCAAAGACTCAGGAGGACATTATGCATATTTCTGGAGGCCTTTTTTTGGCATAACTCCCTCCTTCATGGCATAGCACTCTCACACATTCAAGCCATCTCATTCTCCTTTGATGTCTGTTTTCTTATCTTGGCAAGACTTTCACAGGCTCCCTGGGATATCTCCCCTATGTCACTGTCCAAATTGTCCTGGTAGGCAGAAAGCTTGGGTGGGTCATAGAGCTCTTGTTATTGTTTTGCTTTTTTCAGGGAATCATAGTTCTGAACCATTTGTGATCCAATGTCTAAAATGTTGTTTTGTCTAGTTTTCTACTTGCATACAGTAGAAGGGGATGTTTGACACTACTTGGTCATGGCTGAAAATGGTACCCTTAGGCATGGAGTGAAATACATATCTGGGCTAGGAGTTGGAGAAGCCAAAGGAGGATCCTGGGGAAGATGGGAGCTGCTGCAAACAAACCTACAGGTGAGCCAGAAGGTCACTGGCAATGTATGCACACCATCTTAAATAATGCCTTCTGCTTCATGTTTGCCTTTCAGTCTGATACAACTATGTCTCTTGTCACCCACTCTAACTGGAAACATAAGGGAAGAGAATTCTGGGAATTGAGTTCAGCCTCGCCAGTTGACATAGTACAGAGTCACCACAGAAACACTTGTTTCCATGGAACTTGCTTGGGTTCCATTTTGCCACTGCAATTATTAAAAAGAGTGGCCATGAGAAACCTCTGAGAATAGAGCTAGTCAAGTGGCAGGGCCCTGAGACCCATGAAGCTGGCAGCAGCATAAAAGAGATTCGCAAAATACTTGTATTCAACATGAATGACTAGCTAAATAGAAACAGATTTGTATTCGTTTTCTGGTGCAGAAATTTAGTTTCCAACATAGCAGCTTCATTAGTCACAGTGGAGAGAGGGATCGATAGAGATGGAATTCCTCTGCTTGGATTTTTCATGTTTCTATACCCCTCTACATGCCTTAGGATTCTAGCTTACTGAAGTTTATATGAACTAGACTTCTGACTGAAAGGAAAGTATAACAGCACTGTGAGGGCTAATGAGGGGACAAAGCAGAATATAGCTACCTTGTTTATGGGGGGGGGGGAACAGGCCAGCTCTTTCAAGAATAATACATAGAAAGAAAGGGAACTAACATGGGGAGAATGAAAAAAATATTTTAAAACTGCAAAATGGAGAAGATAGCTTCAGGATGGGCAAGAATAAGCTTTTGAAAAAGATTTTCTGAAAGAATAGGGTATCTGTTTAATGTTATAAAAAAACTTCCAACTTATTTTCTGAAATAAGACATTAAAGATGAGATAAAACAGCAGACTGAGCTAAAAAGAGGTTATTTTGAGGCAGGCAGAAATATAAAAGAAGTGGGATGGCATAAGGAAAGAAACGATTAATGAAATAGCATATATTAAATTTGTATTAAAAGAAGCACAATTTAGACTTTTTTTAAAGTTACATGAATTTAAATTTTTTTTTTTTAGTTGTTGATAGACCCTTTTTAAAAAAAAAAAATTATTTATATGTGGAGCTGAGAATTGAACCCAGGGCCTCACATATGCCAGAAAAGTGTGCTACCACTGAGCCCCAGCCCCAGCCCCATAATTTAGACTTTTTTTTAAAAGAGAATTTTAATATTTAATTTTTAGTTATCGGCGGACACAATATCTTTGTTTGTATGTGGTGCTGAGGATCGAACCTGGGCCGAACGCATGACAGGCGATCGCACTACCGCTTGAGCCACATCCCCAGCCCAAGACTTTTAAAAATAATTTTAATATTTCATATTGTGAGATGTTTAAAAGACAAAAGTAGAGAGATTAACTAGACATGTGGTGCACATTTATAATCTCAGCTACTCGAGAGGATGAGTCAGAAGGATCAAAAGTTCAAGGCCAGCCTAGGCAATTTAGTGAGATCCTGTCTCAAAATAAAAAACAAAAAGGGCCGGGGATGTAGCTTGGTTGTAGAGCAGCTTCAGGTTTAATACCCAGTTCCAGAAAAACAAAGTAAAGAGGTTAATATAATAATTGCCACTTGCTCACTGTCCAATTTATATAATTACAAATATTTTGTGAATAATTTTTTAAAAATCTATCATTCTTAGCTCTTTTTGATTAGAATATTTTAAAGCAAATCCCAAACATAATTTTACCTGAAAATACCTCAGTATCGCTGACACATACATAAAGCCTTTTTTTTCCTCTTCTTCATTTAAAAAAATGTGACCATGATTCTATTCACATTTAGCAAGATTAATAATACTTCTTTAGTATCATCTAAGACCCAGACTGTGTTCAAATTTCCTCAGTTGTCTCAACAATTGTTTTAGAAAGTTGGCTTGTCTAATCAGAATCCAAACCAGGTCCACACATTGTGTTCAAATGATATGTCTATAAAGAGTTTCAACTTGATACCCAAGGACACCAAATTAATAATATGGAGAAAATACTTGAAAGATCTACTGAAGTTATGAAGGAAAAGGATGTAGACATGAAAACAAGGAGCCAGAAGCTAGTGGTAGTGGGAAATAGAGTGTTGAGGTTCTACATATGGATGGTTGAATGTTACAATCATGAGCAGTCGAGACAGAATAAATAATCAAATATATAATAATAAAATAACTTTAATATAATAAATAAAGAATTGTGTATACAGAAGTAAAGGGATAACTAAAAATTAATGAAAATGTACCAACACTTGGACCAGGGATTCTCCCCCCTACCCTTTTTATTCTTAACTATACGTGACAGCAGAATGTATTTTGGTAGAATATACATACATAAAGTATAACTTATTCTATTAGGTTACCACTCTTGCAGTCATACATGATGTGGAGTTATCCTGGTCGTGTACACAAATACAAGGCTAGGAAAGTTATGACTAAGTAATGTCTTTCCTATTCCCCTCACCCCTCACTTCTCTTCATGTCCCTTTGCCTAGTCCATTTTATTTCTGTTATTCCCCAACCTCCCTTGTTTGGGGTTAGCATCCACAAGTCAAAGAGGACATTTGGCCTTTGATTTGGGGGGATTGGCTTATTTTGCTTAGCATGATATTCTCCTATTCCAGCCCTTTACTGGCCTAGGCCACAATTTCATTCTTCTTTATGACAGAGTAATATCCATTGGGTATATATACTACATTTTCTTTATCTATTCCTCTGTTGAAGGACACCTCAGTTGTTTCCATAGCTTGGCTTTTGTGAGTTGAGCTGCATTTTCCATGGATGTGGCTGTGTCACTGTAGTATTCTGTTTTTAATGAACCAGGGATTCTTAACTTGAGTTTTTCTGTAGATGCATTTCAGGGTACTAATGCAAATTTAGAGAGAGAGAGAGAAAACAAGCTCAGATGTGTGACCATATTGAACCTACCACTCCCTGACATTCAATTTCTTAATTGAGATGTATGAAAATTAGAGGGTCTTAATCTTTTTGTTGGTCTTATATCCTTGTAAGGATTTAATTAAAGTTATGGATCTCCCTAGGAAAATGCACAAAATGCACAGATATTTACTATTTATCAAATATCACCATAGTATCCCACTTCCATGTACTGATTTCTCTTTCAATTAGATAATTAAGACAATTACAAGCATTTTGCAACAGTTAGAGAAATTGTGTAATGAAATATCCAAAGCATAGTAGATTAAAACACCAATTAGGAGGGCTGGGTTGTGGCTCGGGGTAGAACAGTTGCGTAGCATGTGTGAGGCCCTGGGTTCAATCCTTAGCACTGCATATAAATAAATAAATAAATAGCCCATTGACATCTAAAAAACTATATTTAAAAAACAGCAATTAGTTGTTTCTCATGATTTTGTGAGTGGCTGGAAGGTATAGGGATAATGTAGTGATTAAAATGAAAAATTAGCAAAGCTTAAAACTTGTTTCCGTGATGTAAAGAGTTTGTCAACTCACTACATTTTTCTTAAAGAAACACGGTTATAGAGACACAAAAAAGTTTAATCAGCTTAATGGTTTTGAAATAAACAATGAACTCAATTATCTTCCTAATTTAACAGAATCTTATTAAGATAATTCTGGACAGTTTCAGTCCATTTTAAACACAATTCTATATTTTGTGTTTTGAGAAATTTTATATCACATTGCTGTATAGCTCAATGAGAACATTCTTGTTTTTTTTTTTTTTTTTGCGGGGGGTGGGGGTGATGGTACAGGAGATTGAACTCAAGGACACTGGACCACTGAGCCACATCCTCAGCTCTATTTTGTATTTATTTAGAGACAAAGTCTCAATGAGTTGCTTAGTGCCTGGTTTTTGTTGACTCTGGCTTTGAACTTGCAATCCTCCAGCCTCAGCAGCCTGAGCCACTGTGATTACAGGCCTTTGCCACCGCACCCAGCTGAGAACATTCCTTCTTTATCCTGAAATACAGACCATGGATCCCTATGCTTAACTGAGGAAGCATCAAGACCAGCAAATATCATACCAAATCAAAAACAAATTATATCAGTCAGAATAGGTCATACACTAATCATAAACAATCCCCAAATTTCAGTAGCTTGAAACAATATGTCAACAGGTTATTTAATTATAATTCCTCAGTTTTTACTTATGTATAAAGTGGAAATAATAATACCTTTGTGTGAAAGCTGTTATGAGGATATAATAAAAAATATGTGTAAAACTTCTTATTCTCAGTTACTTCCAGCACTATAGTGGAAATTCAATAAAAAGTTTTTTTTTGCTTTTCTTTTCCCAGATGAACAACCCAAAGCTGCAGTAACTGGGGATCACTATCTCCAAGAACATAAGGGATCCTTAAAAGGAAAGAGTCACCTCTGAAATGACTTCCAGTTCAATACTCCAGGCACTGTCAACCTTCTGAAATGGTTATTTTTCAGGGTCATCAGTTGAGGAATCATGACTCACCAAAACTACCTCAACCTATTTTTCTGATGCCTGAAATATCTTTTAACAAGAGACATTTCTGTTATATGAATAGCAGTAGTGAAGACAAAAGATATGCAGTCAGAAACACTCTATATTGAAACAGTGCCAGACTAACTTAACGACCCTAGGCAATTCACTTAATCTTTTTACAGATGGTGAAGCACAGTCTTTGTGGTGCACAGTTTTGTTCTCACAAAGCATAACTGTGTAACCACCACTGGAATCAAGACAGTACAGGTTTATTATCCCCCAATTCCCTCATGCTTAGTTAACCCTTCTTTTCCCTGCTTTCTAGTAACTACAGATCTGTTTTCTGTCACTATTGTTTGGCCTTTCCCAGAATGTCGTATAAACAAAAATCATATAATGTATTCATCAGATTTTCATAGCTGTGGCCCAAATACCTGACAAGAACAATTTAGGATAACTTAGAAGAGGAAAAGTTTGAGCTCATGGTGTCAGAAGTTTCATTCTAAGACTGTCTAGTTCCAACACTGTAGATCTAAGGTGATAAGGGACATCATGGTGTAAAGGCATAGCAGAGAGAAGCTGCTCTGCTCTTGGCAAAGTGGAAGTAGAGAGGAAAGGAGGAGCCAGTGGACAAGACATAATTTCCTTACTTCTGAAGGACTGAAATTAATTGTACTAGTTTTTAATAAATATTATGTCTAATTCTTAAGGAAAATTAAATAATTTGAAAAGTATACCGAAGCCAATCTATGAACATGAGTTATTTTAAACTTAAAGTTTTGAGTTTCCTGTACATGAGGGTTTACTGCAGTTATTTCCTGCAAAATCCAGTTCTGTGGCAGATTCTAATGGCCTCATCACATTTGAGATTCAGTGGAGTTAAGTGTTACTAGGTTTTCTTTTGGTAGTCTGAGTGAATGGCAATCTTTTTTTCAAATCATATCCTTAAGTTCAAAAGCTCATTTCATTCACTGATCTTTTAAAATTTTTTTGTAACAGTATTTAAATTTAACAAATTGCTGCATGTGATTTATTTTCAATTTAATTACAGAGCCAAAATGCTACATATAATTATGGATGTAAGTACCAGTCAATTCTTTACCCTGATGGCTTGAGAAAGGCTGTAAAGTGTACCATAGTCTTTCTACATAATCTCCTATGAGCCGTCTTTCCCTGCCATTGAATCAGTGCTGACAAATAAAGTATCAGAATAGTAACTAATAAGAGGTCATGCTTTTGTGCCAAGCCCACCCCTTGCTTCTCTTTCATATTGATGCTAATGTGATGCCATTTAACACAGTTCAAGAAAATTCATAAAATCAGTCTGCTTAGGAAGAACCTTTGATCAAAGATGGATAAATCACAGTGCCCCAGGAATTGGTTTAAAATAAGTAGCAGTGTGATATATTTCTTTTTGTTATGAGTTAAAGCTCTAAAATGTATTTTTATATTCTGGGGAGGGGGGAAACTCAGTTCTCTGAAACAAAATGACAAGTAAAAAAGAAAACAAAACAAAAACCCTGCCCCACCCATCGGAAACATCAATCTTAATTCTATATTATGCAACTTGTGGGTTCCAAAATAAAGTTTCAGTTCATACCTATTTTCTGAGAGTTAGTCCACACAAGTGAAGTTCTTCCTTGAGTTAGAAGTCTTATATCTTTTTAAAAAATTTTAATTAATTTTTATTATTGCATAATAATTATCATAATAGTAGGACTAGTTATTACATATGCCTACATGCACACAACATAATTTCATTAATTTTATTACTGAGTACCTCTCCTTTCTCTCTCCTCTTCCCTTCTCCTACTTTCCTTCCTTTATTCTACCCATCTCCCTTCTATTTTATTAGGTCCCATGCCTTTTTCCCTTTTTTTGCTCTCTAGCTTCCACATTAGAGGTCTTATGTATTCTTAATATTATATATTTGTATATACATACAATCATGCAATATTACATAATGTTAAATAAATATATACCTTACTACAGCACATATGCAGGGGTCATTTTTACTAGCTGTGCGGTCTTAGGCAGGTTAATCAGCTATTCTGAGTCTCAGTTTCTTCATCTGTAATTTACTTACTTGTTTATTTATTTGTTTACACTACTGGGGATGGAATCCAGTGACTTGTCTATGCTAGGCAAGTGCTCTACACTGAGCTACATCCTTAGCCCTTTAAAAAAAATTTTTATTTTGACACAGGGTCTCACTAAGTTGCTGAGGACAGCTTCCAACTTGTGATCCTCCTACATCAGCCTCCCAAGTAGTTGGGATTACAGGCCTGCACCAGCATACCTGCTCTTCATCTGTAATTCTGAGATAACAGTCTTGAGATTGTTGTGTGGGTTAACCAGATAGGTGTCATAGCACTCAGTGGAGTGCCTGGTGTGTAGTAATGACCAATAGTGGCAGTTGATACTGTTAATTTATATTGAACTTTCCTTTACTGCTTTTTTTTCCCACTTCAGTCCCTGCAGCCAGACAAATATTATATATTTATGGATTGTTTATGTATCAAAAGTTTTGGTGTTGGCAGTACCTTGTTTCTGTGGCTGTGAACCCTGGGGAATTCTGGCTTTGCTGACCCTAGCAGCCCTGTTTGGGTCAGCTCCTTTCTCTGTCCCTGTGATATGATTAAACACATCTCCCAAAGTTCATGTGCAATGGTGTTGAGAGGTGGGACCTAATTTAGGAGGTAACTAGGTCAAGAGGGCCCTCCCCTCATAAATGGATGAATGCCATTATCACCGTGGTCAGTAGGTTATCACTGGTTAGTGAGTCCCTGAGAAAAGGACGATTCTGTCCACTTCCCTTCTCTCTCACTCTCAAATGTGCTCTCTTGCCCTCCTGCCTTCCACTGTGGAAGAATGAGGCACAAAGGGCCTGGCCAGATGTGGGTTCCCTGACCTTAGACTTCTCCAAACTAAAAAGTTAATCTCTGTTCTTAGAAACCATGCAGTCTAAGGGTAGTTCTTTTATAATAGCACAAAATGGACAAAGACAACCTGACTGAATGTTTTTTATACAAGTATACTTTCATAAGAGCTTAAATCAGTCTTTAGTATGAATAGGTATACTTGAAGCTTATTATAACTACCAATTTAAAGAAACTACGGAAGATTTCATAAAATAAATAATAAATCATACTTCAGTGTCTCCTACTTTCTTAGCTTTATATTTTTTTCCTATGCTAATGCATTTCTAAAAGAAAATTTGGGATTCTCTTGGTTCTAAAGTGACAGAATGAGCTCTAAAAGGCTACTCTCTTCTATTTCAGTCTGGAAGGAATTCAAACAATGAGAAAAAGGAAAAGGAAGGAAGAAGAAAGGAAGCTGGAATTGGATGGAGAGGTCCACCAAAGACTAGTGCCCGCTGATTTTTCTGTTGTTGTTGTTGTTGTTGTTGTTGTTATTATTGTTTTTTGTGGTGCTGGGAATTAAACCCAAGGCCTCAAGCATGGTAGGCAAATGTCTGCGACTGAGCTATATCCTCAGTTCTGACTTTGTTTTTTAAACCACTTTGTTGACTACAGTTTATACACCATAAATTTTTTTTCATCGTAAATACATAATTCAGTAGCTTTCTTCCTTTATTGGTGCCAGTAATTGAACCCAGGGGTGCTTAACGATTGAGCCACATCCCTACCCCTTTTTATTTTTTATTTTGAGACATGTTCTTCCAAAGTTGCTTAGGGTATCACTAAGTTGCTGAAGCTAGTTTTGAACTTGCAATCCTCCTGCCTTCCAAGTCACTGGGATTACAGGTATGGGCTACAGCACCCTGCTCAGTAGCTTTAGTATATTTTCAGACTTGTACAGGTATCATAATATCATAATAAGTTTTTAGAACATTTCCATCAGGTTTCAAAAAGAAACCTCACATCTATTAGTAGTCATTCCCACCCCCACCCTCAGCCCTAATCAATCATTAATCCGCTTTCCCTCTATATAGATTTACCTATTCTAGGCATTTTATTTAAATGGAATAATGCAACAAGTAGTTTTTTGTAATCTGGCTTCTTTCATTTATCATAACATTTTTCATTCTTTCTATTTATTGATTGATTTTGATGCTGGGGATCCAACCCAGAACCTTGCACATGCTAAACACACACTCTACCACTGAGATACATCCCCAGCACCCATTTTTTTTTTAACGAAAATTTTATAATTTTATTTTCATTTTCAGTGAAAATGTCTGATTTTAAGTATCTGTTGAGAAACCTGAGATACAGTACTGAGATGTGAAATATAGTACTTTATAACAAAATCTGCACGTATCAGTGCATTTCAATCAATCCTGAGTGATTGAATAAAAGGAGGAAATAATGTGATGCATACGGTAAAACTGACCTTCAAAGGGCTAGCAGAGTTTCTTGGTACTAATATTAGTTGAGAAAAATACCTTGGATAAAGGAATTAGAAATGGTGGAGAAGAGAGGATCTTTCCTTGGACAATTATAATACAGCTTAGGGTCCTAGAATGTGAGATCTAGTTCTGAAAGTTTCCACAGATAAATTGATAACTCATATAAGATATCATTACAAAGTGCCAAAAGAAGGATGTATGAAAACTATTAGGGATATGTTGAGAGCCACAGCCGAAGGGCCCCAGCAAACTTCCAGCTGCCAGCAAACTTCCAGCTGCCGGCTGATGATTGGCTCACAACGGCCCCAGCAACATCTAGCTGATTGGCTCCTCTGTGGTGATGCCATTGGAGATGCTCATTGAGCTGTTTCCCCACCCTTTCAGACTGCCAGCTGATGATTGGCTCATAAAGGCCCCAGCAACATCTAGCTGATTGGCTCCTCTGCAGTGATGCTCATTGGGCTGTTTCCCTGCCCTTTCAGACCACGGAGCTACTCATTGGGGGACTTTTTTGGCTCCGCCCACATGACCCAGCCAATCGGCCTCAAGAGTAGGAGGATTGTGGGAGATGGTGAGGCGTGTGATTGAGGGAGAGGCTTGTGGGAAGCCCGTGGTGGCAGTTGGGCTCTGAGGGTTTTTTCTGAGGAGCTGTTTTTTTTGGCCTGTGTGGTTCTAAAAATAAAGTTCGTTTCTTTTGACAAGTGGCTCCTGAATTGTGCCCAGCCAGACTGCGGCAGGGGGACAATCCCATCTCCCATTTTTCCTTTCCACTCTCAAGGGCTGTGCCCTTCTTTAGTATGTCCTTCTGATGTCCTTTCCTATGGGAAATAGATCTGATTAGCCAACCTTCACCGAGATGTTAACTGAATGACTATTGTTTTCACTCTACCTATTGATATTTTTATTTTTTAATACTTGCAAAGTATTCTAGGAAATTATTGTAAATCAGAGGGGTTTTAGCCATCATAAAATATAGTTAAGGGAAATATTTGGTACAGAGGAATATTTCTTTTTGTATCCATTTTATTTGCATATAGAATTTTTTTTTCAGTATTAGGGATTGAACCCAGAGCCTCCCACATGCTAAGAAAGTGCTCTATCACTGAGCTATATACCCAGCCCTTTTTATTTTATTTTGAGACAGAGTCTCACTAAGTTGCTCAGGTTGGCCTCAAACTTGTGATCCTTCTGCTTCAGTGTCCTAAGTAGGTACAATTGCAGGCAGGTACCACTGCTCCTGGCACAACTGGTTGTTTGTTTGTTTGTTTTTTTTTTAAATACAATTTCAAAATATTTGTTCTAAAACATGAGCAGACAACATTTTCTAACTTAATTAGTTCCCAAAGCAACTTATTTATTTCTGGGGCAAACTGTGACTTAATCAAAGATTTATAATTATAACATATTTAGACAATTATATGACATCACTGTTTAACAGCTGTGTAAACTACATGGAATAAGAGTTAGACATGGTCACATCAGTGGGAGCTGGGGATGGAGGGCAACATTCTGTCATTGTCCTCTAAAGGAAAGGTCAGGATCAGGCACTTGCCTCTTTGTGTCTTGGGTGAGGAATGAGTGCAACCATCAGCTGCCTCCAGGCAGGAACTGGCACAGCTGGCAAAAGGAGGAACTGACAGCTAATGGATAACAAACCAACGGGGAGTCATGAGGTATCCCTCACTCTGGACTCTGGACCTGTGAGCCTCTGTTCTTGTCCAGTGAGTCCCCCAAGGTCTAGGAGAGGGCGTTAAATTTCTAATATTAATATAGAAGTGGATGCACTGGATTATATCTAATGATATCTGATACTAATATCTAATAAAAACCTGATAGATGAGAGACTTAAGAAAAAACATGTACAATCTACTACCACAGTGTTCCTGATTTTTTAACGAAGTATCTGGCATTTTCATTTTGTGTCATTTTGGAAGGCTCTGTCACACAAGAGTATAGAACTAGTGGCTAGAAGCCATAACTGGGTTGGGAGGGAACAACACCACCAGATAAAGGGCAAGCTTGCAGGAAAGGTCTTTCCTTTACTTTGAGGGTACATTTTATTTTGTTTACTTTTTGCTATTAAAAGATATGAATAAAATTAACCAAGCCCATTTGGAATGTTGTAGGAGAGATCCAGAAATGGGCACATGTTCTCCCAACCCCATCCAGATCTTCCCTACTCTTGTTAGCAAGCATCATGGAATAAACAGCACAGAAAGGGAACTCGGTATTATTTGGTGATGAGAACAACTTACTTGTTTGTGGTTTGACTAACAGAATCAAGAAAGATCCTTAATTCAATACATAAAAAAAAAACTACAAAAGCGAGAAGTCCTCATATAATATATGTCTATTAATAACATTTACTTTATTATTTAAGTAACATTGAACATACTTATTTTCAAATATATTAATTCAGAATAAAGTCTTAAAAATCCATCTAAAGTGCAACATTCCAATATTAATATTTAGTATTTTGAGTGCCAGCAAA